ATAGCGACTGAGTTGCGAGAGAAGCGTTTCGTTTGTGGGAAAGGAGTAGTAGGGTGGAAGACTATTAAATTTTTATAGAATTGCGTTATTTTATAGTAACGAATTGGACGAGGGTTCAGTTTTAAAACGGTTATATTTGGGTAGTCCTTTTTTTACAAAAAGAAGAAGTGACATGTTTACAGGATGAATTATAAATACGCTTAGGAACAAATAACATTATAAATACGATCAGAACAAATAACATATTAAAATATTGGTTTTAAGGATATTGATGTTATTGTATAAGGCAGAACTTATGGAGACAACTGAAAGGATGCAGAAACTTACGGTGATTAGAAGCTTTGCAGGATTCGTTATTTAACATTTGTACAAATTTTCGTAGGAATAATAATAATAATAATAATAATAATAATAATAATAATAATAATAATCTGCAACTTTTACGGGAAGGAAACTGAAAGAAAATGGTATGAACACCACCCAGACCCGATTACGGAGATAGGACCTGTTACAATTCTATGGGACTACACAATACACACTGACAGAACAATCAAAGCCAACCGCCCAGATATTGTTATTAAAGACCACAAACAAAAAAGTGCCCCCTTATTGATATGGCATTCCCTGCTGACTGCAATGTATCTTTGAAGATATTCAAAAAGCTGTCAAAATACAAGCACCTTAAAATAGAAATCTCGAAAATGTGGCATATGGGAACATCAACAATCCCTGTTGTAGTTGGAGCCCTAGGATTGGTTGGAAAAGATTGCAGTAGATTAATTGAAGGAATTCCTGGAAGTCAATGCCTCAAGGAGATACAAAACATTGTTCTGACAAGTACAGCCCACACTTTACGAGGGGCTTTATCTATGTAATATTTTCTTTTTGTTTTGTTAGTGGAAAGTGTCATGATGCCATTTCTAACCTTCGGTCCCTGGGCGGGATCCGGAAAGAAATGTGTAATCGCCAGAAGTCAACGAAAATAGTAATAATAATAATAATAATAATAATAATAATAATTGTCTGACGAAAGTAGGATGGAAAAAGAGACGAAACATCCTAATTAAAGTGTGACACAAAGATTACCTTTCAAAAGGTTGATGGCTAGACGGATTTCTATATTTCTTTTAAGAATCTGTTGATTCTAAGTTAAAAAATACTTTGAATTTTTTCAAATTTATTAATACCTACACAGACGGTCTGCCTTATGGCCACTCATATAGTTACATCAAATTTTAATCAAGTTTAAATTTTATTTAAAAAAAAATGATGCCTACAACCGGCTTTCCCCACAATGTGCAACGAGGAATTAATGCATGTTCAAATTTTATAGTACTCTAGAAGTTATCACATACGCCAGAGATAATCATTCCAGACAATATCACAGATATTAAAATCCAGAGTTTGGTGGTGAGTCTCATTGTATTGTAAAATAATATTATTTGAGGTGAAATTAGGGCTCACGTCGGCAGATATTCTCTTGATGGACAAGAAGTGGTCCTTGTGCAACTGATTTTTTTTAATGACAGTTTTTCCGTTGACAGAAAAGATAACCAAAAAGCGAAACAGCGTTGAAGACAAAGAAATTCTTCTCCATTACTAAATCAACGTCTCTCAAAGAGAACTGTCAAAGGGGAGACCAAAAGGGGATGCCAAAAGTCTGAAACATAAAATCAACATTTTCTTCAAGAAGCCAGAGATTTGTTGTCTAAGGAAAACGGAATTTGACAAGAGACATGAGCAGCAAAATCCAAAAGGAGGAAAAAATTCTAGAAAATGAAAAGAATATTACTTTCAACAGAAACTCCACATGACAAGACAAAAATTATTGATGAACCTAATAGAAATATGTAACGATTTCCCAGTGAGGCGCCGAAAATTCAAAGAAATATGTAAAATATACAGAAATGAAAAAAAATAATATCAAAATATAAATCCATTGCCAATATGGAATGAAAAAGAAGTTAAAATGACAAGGAGGAAGTTAACAAAATACTACAATATATTAAATATTACATCACTATTTAAATAAAACTTCTATAATAAAGCCCTTATATAGAGTGTTAAATAATAGATTAGCGGACTATTATTTCTTAGAGAATTGTATTTCGGCTTTTACTTCTTCATTTTGATATTTCAGGCCAGATACTTCCTGTAGGAAGTCGATTTTGATTGGCTAAAGCTAGCGTGTGAATGATAGATACAGAAAGGGATTTCAGGGAGTTGGGTTTTACACGTCGAAGAATGTAGACGTAATTTTTGTGTCTGTAAACAGTGGGATTGGACAGTAAGAAGATGTATCCGTCGACGTGGTTAATAAAATAAAGTTAAAATACCTTTTATGAAGATCTCTTTTTATCTCCGAACAATACAACTGGCGATCAGCGCCCGAGAACGGAAAATGCAACATATGAGTGTCTCAAGACCGTCGACCAAAAATCCCCCACCAAAGGGCCATGCGACAAGAGTATAAAATGGCGTTTCTGGTAGGACTTTGTCTCGGTGTCTGAAATACCATTAATACTGTTATGAAGATTGTTTTCTTTGTTTTCAGTTATCAGCTACATTTCTTAATAGCATGAACAGTGCTCTGTTAAAATGATGAAAAACAAGATGCTGATCATCGAAAGAGGACATTTTGAAATTTACCCTGGTCAAATTTGATCCTGGTAATATATTAATAAATACCCTTTTCAAATTTTACGTTGAATAGTCTTAAAGTTTTGAAATAGGTTGTTGCCCCAAGGTTTACATCATCATCATCATCATCATCATCATCATCATCATCATCATCATCATCCCCGACCTACTTTTCTGTGTCATGAGATTTCCATGTGCAGTAGAGCCGTAGCCTCAGCATACTAGATGTTTCTGCTTGTTTCTGTAGCAAGTAAGTCTTTGCAGGGTGGAGTGTCCAGCCGCGGGTTCAACTGCTTTCGAGGTCAGGTTTGTCTTTCTCCTAAACTGGTTGCCAACAAAAGCAATAGAGCTCACTCATCGCTGCCATTCACCCCATCGTAATGACTAACGTCATCATATTTTAATATTTTATTCACTAATTTATGAATATCTTTTGAAATACGGTGATTAAGAAGAGATTGTCTCAAGCCATTGACAGTGATTTATGATGATCTTTTCTTGAGCAATGTATTAAATTGAGCAAAAAGCTTAAATTAACTTCATCACCAATAACATGAGGCTTGATTTTCCTCCAAAACGAAGCACGCTGTTTTAAAATTATTTGGAATGATTGAAAATAGAAAATCAGCTTACGTATAGTTTGATGAGGCGAGTTTTACCAAGTGTCTGTCATGTGTCTATAGAAATTAATTTCTTTCTTTACTTATTTATACATTCATAAGGACACCAACTTTTTTTATATTATCACACCATGACATGCATGGGCACATGTATATATATATATTTCATTACTTTCACTAAATAAGCTTAGTTTAAAATCTCGGATATATGACACTAATAAAAAAAATGGTTAAAAATAATAATTCGTATTTTGGGAATTTTGTATCAATCCTTTGTTTTCAAACCTGGTGCCATAATTTACATATGTTGCATTGTCTTGAAAATTCTTTAAGATAACTTTGACAGGGAGTTGTTTCCATGGTGACATACAACCACCACTCCTGTTTCAGATGACTAGATATTTACCTTGAGGTAAGCTAGACATTTAACTTCAGGTAGATAAAAAACCTCAGGTAGATAAAAAACCTCAGGTAGATAAAACCAAAAAGCAAAACAAAACAAAGAACAAGATTTTTTTCATTAGTGTCAAGCACCCATCATTGCAAATTTATTTGATAGTGTTTTTTGTTAACTATCTGAGGTTAAATTACTTTCATACAAACTATAGGCAACAATGCGCACACCTATGCTGCATTCATCTGGCTAAAGATACAATCGCATGTGAAAATGTGCAGCATTCTTCTTCACCTGTTTATATTAATAAAACAGACAAACTATCTTCTGTAATCTGTGTTTAGTCAGTACCAGAAAGAAGATAGTTTTATTTCCATTTAAGGTGATTCGTTAATCCGAATGTCTTTATAAAAAATATATCAGCTCAACATGGACTTTGCTAAATCAAAGATGCGATGTAAATAAAATAACCCGTCATCTAACACGAAAATATGGTTACTAAACTCATAAGTATCTTATTATAAGATACGTGTCCCTTCCTTAATTAGCCCGGCCATTACACCCTGCTAATAGCTCTTAAATAATGGACTATTTTGATTGCGTGGCAAAACGGAAAATACATATCACGCTACTTGGTTTCATTGAGAAAATGAATGAAAAAAAGAAAGAAAGAAAGGTAGAGAGAAATGTTCAACGTCTGTTTCAGTGAAGTAGAAAAAAAAATTGCCAATTTCCAATCTTTTCATTTGTACCCCCTTACTTCTTTAAATAACAACCAACATTCATATTTATGATTGTTATTGCAATATTTACTTGTTAGGTTGTTACGTTCAAATATTTAACGATGTGAGGCGGTAATTTCTACGGACATTTTATTGTTGCAGAAGTCACCCTGAGCTTATTCCATCATTAGCTCAATAATTAAGATTCATCGGAAAATTAAAACAGAAAAACTGTAGAATTTTCTGGGTATTTGTAGTTCGGGTATAATACGAACCCATAACTTTAGGCTACACAATACTGGAAAAATATCTCGTGTATATTCCGTACTGACGTTTAATTGGTTGGTTGATTCGTGTTTAACGGTTTATCAACCCTTAGCAGGTTATTTAAAGCCAGGAAATACTTTTTGGATTGTAAGAATTATTTTTTTTTTTTTTAGATAATACGGATTTAATGATACAAATATTAATACTTAGCTGAAAGGAGAAGAGGTTGAATCATACTTTTCCCAATGGTATTTGCAAGTAAGTGAATATAACAAACACAACTCGAATTAGAAAACGGATCTCTTGTTTACAATTCCGAGCCATTATCTATTACACCACCCGCACATCAATGCTTAAAACACCTGGTCTTCCCAAGCGGTCACCAGTCTAGGTATTGACCAGGCTCAGCGTTGTTTAACTTCGGTGATTGTACGGGAACCAATGTTTCAACGTGATGTGGCCGTAAGCCGTACTGATGTTTTAGAATTTATAGCAGCTAAATTCAGCCAAAATTATAAATTAAAAATGTCCTATTCGTAGCCTTTAATATTAACAATTCATATAGTTGCGTAATGTTTCGAAAAACAAAATTTACACAGTATTTAGAGCAAACGCACGACATGTTCACCTTATAATGTAATAAACTTATGGTGAAAAAAACAAAACAAAACAAACCTCACATTTAGAAAAATAAAAATATAAATTCATATTCCAATGTCTAGTGACTATTTCTATAGTAACATAAGATAAAAATAGCCATTACTATTACTTGTTTCTTGAGGAAGACTAACAAGATGACTCTGTAGATAATGAAAATGTCCACTTTCCTGTTCGTGTATCTGCACACCCCTGTGATGTGTGGGATGTGTAGTAGATAGCGGCTTGGAATGAGAAATCGGAGAGCGTAGTTCGAATTTCAGTCGTTTGTTATACTTAATTACACTGAGGAAAGGCATGAATCAATCTCTTCTTACGCGGTTGTTGGTTAAATAGAACACTATTAGGTTTCGAGCAAAGTAATCAAAAGACAACTCCTCTAATTGATTATGCAACAATTGCAATTGTATGTATTTTTGCTACTTGTGCTGTCAACAGAGATGGCACCGTTTTTGTATGTTTTTTTAACGATTTAAACATTTTGTTACATATTAGTTGGTTTGGACCTCAGTTATAAATTACTTTCCGTCAAACCACACAGAATAGCGACGATTATGTTCGGAAAAATAACTTTTACGGTTTAATCTTAATTAATTTTAAAACTCAACATACAATTTGTTACCACTACATCTAAAAAACAAAAAACAAACAAAAAAAACAAACAAACAAATAAACAAAAAACAAAACAAATAAAAACACTTAGTCAATATTAAACAAAACAATAATCTACAAGTTGAATGGCGAATTTGCTGTATCGATTGTAATAATATACAGGAGAAACCTCAAGATAATATGAACACAAAATAATACATCAAATGCATTTAATGCATTAGTTGCTCAGCGTAGCGAGACTGACCACAATTTTGACATGCTACTGTGATCAAAAATCGTCCATGCGAGTGTGTAGCTGCGCCAACGTAACAAATTTAGTCCGACGAATTCCTATACAACGCGTCACACGAAAACTTTTTTCCACATTGTCATACATTTTCCCGCAATATTGTTCTTGATATATAAAAATTCATATATCGTTAGCTCATATATATTTATTGCATATGAGTAGGATTTTACAATAAATAGAAGGATGATGATTAAAAATTGCTGTCCGAAAATTTCGTTTCTTTAAATTTTTATACTTGAGTATGACTTGAAATAGCATGAAAATATTCTTGGTAAAAACGAGTTTGAGGTGAAACTAAAGATATTTTAATATTTGTTTTTGTTTAATTTATTTCTTTAAGAAAAAATGCAATGTAGGTGATCGTCGGAATGCTTTCTGCACTTTGAAAGGATTTAACATCTCTTATCAGAAGTAGTTTCCATTATTTTCACAGATTTTGCAATAAACGTAAAATTATTTTTTTTGCATCCGATGCGAATGTCAACTCTGTTTTTAAAGTCTTTTGTTCTGTATCCGACATTTTTAACTTTATAATGAATATCGTAATTGATCACGTAGATAAACGCCAAGTTCTTCGTCAATGATAATCCTCTTTGCCATTTTAAGGAAAGAGAAAAAGAAATGGAAATTACGATCTCAGACTGTATAGATTCTTAGAAATAATTGGTTAGATTAAGTGCAAATTTGATGCCCTGCTAAAAGACCAAAGCGAATTTCAATCATTCGCTAGAAATTGGACGCTATGAATTTTACAATTGAGTTATGTGAACTAATGGAAATTTCCGTCATTCGCGTTTCAGCTATAAAACTGCATGATTTAAATTGCTGCCATCCTCAATTAATTATTTAACAAATTGAAAACTCTCTGTATGACAGGTAAAAAATGGAATTACCGAAATATATTTGAATTATTTAACAATATATTTAACGAATTGAAAGCTCTATGTATGACAGGTAAAAAATGGAATTAGCTAAATATATTTGAATTATTTAACAATATATTTAACGAATTGAAAGCTCTATGTATGATATATATTTGAGATATTATCAAACTATGCTTCGATTAAATTTGATATATTTTTACTACAGGCTCAAGAGCCTCTTAAGGTTGAGAGTTACTGAATGACATGTGTGATCTTAATGTAAGTATTCTTCTTCTTACGTAGGAAGTGAAAATTATGAAGATAAGGAAGACAGATAACAACTGACGCTTGATTTGAAGAGGCCGCCCTTGAAAAGAAAATACCGATTGCCAGAGAAAAAGTTACAATGAATTATTTACAATGAATGATATACGTTCTAATTGGTTGCTAGAGAATGCAGATTCCTTTAATAAGATTAAAAGTAAATGCAGTGAGCGTTGCGGGGAATGCTGAAAAATTGAGAAGTGGCAAGGCAAAGAAAAACATCAAGTTATACATAAAATACGTTGAATTAGGCCACGTTAGATTAGCAGAAACAGAGAGAGAAAAAAAAAACGAAATAATGTTTAAAAAGTGTACGACATAAATAAAAAAGTAAAGCTAAAAAAGAATAGAATGAATGGACGTAGATTCATAATTGAGTAAAAGAATAAACAATGGGAGAGTTGCAATCTATAGACAGGCATTTTGTTGCTGTTATAGTAAATGTTGGAGAAAGCCATTATTCTCAGGAAAGCAGGCAGCAAGAAACAAAAAGCCACTGAAAGGTTTGTTACGCAAGAACATTATTCAGAGATTTTCGTGTTGATACCTCATAAAAGGTGAAATAAAAGACAAAAAATGAAGATAATGCAGAAAAATGAAACAGGTTCCGCGTTATGGGAAACTAGACAGAAAATTGTCTTCTTTATTGTGTTGAATTTGATGTTATCTCCTGTTATCCCCCCCCAATTTTAGCCTTGTGCCATTTAAGGCCAATGCTAGTAAATATCGATAGAGGAAAATGAAAGAAATCTAATGAAGGAGAAAAGAAAGAGAGAATGCACATAAAAGAGGAGAAAAAAAAATTTTTTTTCAGCATTAAAGGAATTGATTTCTCTTCAAAAATTAAAGGTTATGTTATTCCAAAAATGTATAAAATGGTTAGAACAACCAAAACAATACATAAAAGAAAATGTTTGTATAAAAGCCGGACTAAAATTTTCATATAAAATGTATTTTTATTCTATTCCTAATGGTCACGAGTAAGAGGGATGATCCGAGGTGTGTGCTACGAATTGGAGATATCAAATGAAAGAAGCATTTAAAACGAATTGTAAATCGAAAACTCTCAATATTTTAAAATATATATCAGATAGCTGTTTTTAATAGAAAATAAATATTGCAAAAAGGCTTTCTCTACCTGAATTCCCTCTACCATAGAGCACAAACATTGTCTATCTCGACACGAGAAGTTTCCAGACTTATCAAAATCCTTGACTGTAAGAAGGCTACCGGTTCGAATAAAATCCCTGTTGTAGTTCTTAAGAAAATTAGCCAATTGTTTTACCGCTGTTTCCCACGTCTATAGAAAGTCTCAGTTCTATGCGTTTTTTTTTAAAAAAGAAAGTGGGTAAATGCTAATCTCCGTCGTAATATAGCCTTAGTGTAAATTCTTCAAATTCCAAATTCTTTGATGCTATTATCAAAAGGAACCATATTTTGATCATCTCAACAGAGACAAGCTCTTTAGCGACAAATGGTGTGGATTTCAATCGGCTGGATCCACTGTACTCATTGCCATTACGTAGAGAATTAGTGAGACAATAGACAATAAACACATTACGAGACAATCATTGTACACATCTCAAAGGTTTTTGACGAAGTGTGGCACAGTTTTGCTACTTCAGTTATGAAGTCCTTCCCAACAGGTAGATTCATGAAGGCCGTTGTTAATGGTCACTTTTCGGAAGAACATGAATTAAATTCAGGCGTTTCTTGGAACTCTCCTGGCCTCTTTACGCTTTATATTAATGTCCTGTCTAAGAACATACCCAGATCTTTACTGAATATCAATACAGATGATATGATAGTACATGGGTGCACCTCCAAAAATCTAGATGACCAGAGCCATGTAGCCGATCTCTCCTCTGACCTAGCTCTAACAGATCTGTTAGAAAAAATCTGGCTAGTAATATTAACTACTTTAAAAATCAAAACTAACATTCCATCATCACCGATTAGACCCTTAATGACCACCTATCACGATGAACGCTTGTTCTCTAAAGAAGGATCCTTGCTTTGTACGCCTACTGTGACTCAAGTTTATTGTTCAAGTACCTGGCTTCTTCTACTAACTGTACAGACAGCTGCTTTGTGGAACAGACTCCCGAGAGGATGCTTTCCAAATCACTACAATTTTAATCTCTTCAAGTCTAGAGTTAACCCTTATCTTTTCAAAATAGCCACATAGACTAATAAGCTGCACTTCTTACCTACTCCTTCGTCCTGAGTATGACGATAAACAACATCCAACAGCAAGGTCTCCGATCGGGAGATTGGACGTTTTGAGCAGCGTGGAACTACCTCCTAATTGTTGTTGTTCCCGGGTTCACCCTGACTCAGGGTGGTAGCACCTGTTAGGGCTCCAGCTATGGGCAAATAGTGAAGCCGCCATCAAAAATCTACAGTACATTTTTATAGTAAAATGACCAACAACACATTATATAATCTACAAAATATATATCGAAAAATATTCGTTTACTCTGAATCTATAAAATTATGTACAAAATATCTGTAGTCGAAAGCATAAAATTACGTACAAAATAATTAAATTTCGGCATTAAATAACCCATAGAGGTGTTGATATGCCGCCAAACAAACATCCAACTTGAAGAACTCTTTCATGATATTAGTCCATATAATATCTTACAATTTTTTAAAGAAATCAAACTGTATTTCAGAATATAACTTCAAGAACACTACAACATAAAACACACATATTAC